GAGTTCCCAGTTAATATTTATTTAAATAAATGTTCTGCCCCTTTTTTTCTCTCTTCTCCTGAACCTGCAATAATTTGCTAATTATTCTTTTTGTTAGTATTTCATAGATCGCCTATGCTTTCTTTTTCCTTTGTTCTCTTCCAACTGGAATATTTCAAAGTTTCTGTCTTCTAACTCACAGATTCTCCTGTTGAATCCATTCTGTTGTTAATGCTCTCTATTGTCTTTTTTTTTTTTTTAATTTATTCATAGTGTTCTTAGGCTCCAGAATTTTCTTTGATTTTTTTAATGATTTTTAACTTTGTTAAACTTCTCACTTTTTAATGCATTATTTTACTGATTTCATTGAATTGTCCTTCTTTGCTTTCTTGAAATTTATTAAGAGTCCTTAAAACAGCTATTTTGAATTCTTTATCTGGTAACTTGCAAGATCTCCATTGTCTTTGAGATGAGTTACTTGAAGATTATTGTGATCCGTTGGTGATATCCTGTTTCCTGGATTTTTCATGTTCTTTGAAGTCTTGTGCTGCTGTCTTCACATTTGAAGTAGGAGTCCACCTCCTCAATCCTTGCTAACTGCCTCTGGGAGAGAAGCCCCTTCCATTAGCCCAGCTAGGGATGCTGTCTTTCAGACCTTCTGTGGATACATTTGCTTCACGTTTCTTGCTCCCTCTTGTGGTAGAATTCCTAAGCTCCATGCCTTTTCTGGATCCTGCAATGCAAAAAAGGTGGGTACTGACACTCCCCTTGTTTTCTAAAAGTGGCGCTACAACTCAAGCTTATTGTCTCTCCTTGGCCCACAGACGTCCCCCCCTCACGTCCCCCCCCCGTGTGTGTGCTCACTATTTCTTTGCCCAAACTGGCTCTCACCACCACTGGGAACACACAGGGAGCTGCTCACAGGATAAAAGTGTGTGTGGATGAGGTGTGTGGTGTGCTGGGTGCTTGTGGGCCAGTTGTGGATTCTGCAGGTCACTCTAGCCGGTCAGGGGCAGGCTTCTTGATAGAGTCTGTGATGCATTTAGCAGTGTTGATGCCCCTTTAAGTTCCTCTGAGAATTCTACCTCCTGCTCTCCCAGCCTTACTCTGGTCGGGGCAAGAGAGAAATAGACTCCTTAGCAGCATCTGGCACAGCTGGGGAAGCTGGGTGCTCACTCAAGTGCTCTCGCTTTCTCCTGTGGGAGAAATCATGGCTGAAAAGGTCTCTCTTGGCCCTAAGCTGGGATGCCTTAGGGGAGGGGTGGTGCTGGCAAAGTCAAACTGCTCCTCTTACCCTCATATTTTTTGCTCTGGTGATGTGCTGGAACCTGAGCACTGGAAACCTGGACTCCTACCAAAGCTCTTTCATGGGTCATGGTCTAAGACGGTGTTTCCCAGGGGCTCCCAGATTGTGGCTGAGAGGGGCCACTGCAGCCACTGCAGCTGGGACCGAGGTGTGTATGCCTATTATCTGATGCATAGGTGGGACACTCCTGGGTTCCTTGGCATATGGCACTGGACCCCACAGCTCCCACAAGGGCACTTTTGCCTGTGGATGTTACATTGTTTTGATTGGGGGGGAGGGCAGGACATGATAGGAATCTATCTTATTCAACTGCAATGCTGACATCTCCACAAAGCTTAAATTTTTTTTATTAGTTTATTAATTAAAAAACAACAACAACAACAACAACAAAAGGAGATTGAAAAACCTGATGAACAATAGTAGCTGTTCATTGTAGTGGAGTCGGCAATATGGGAGGGGAGTGGACTGACTGTTCTGGGGGGGGGGAAAGGGAGGGGGAAGGGAGAGAGGAAGAGACTGAACATAAACTGTGCACCTATGAATGAGGACAATGGGGGGTGGGGAGGGGGCGGAGGGTGGGATGGGAACCTGGTGGAGGAGGGAAGAAATGAGGAACCTTTGTGATAATATGAACAATAAAGATTGATTTAAAAATTTTTTTTTATTGATTTCAGAGAGGACAGGAGAGGGAGAGAGAGAAACATCATAGATGAGAGAGAATCATTGATCAGCTGCCTCCTGAATAACCCCACTGGGGATCGAGCCCACAATCCAAGCATGTGCCTTGTCAGGGAATCGAACCATGCCCTCCTGGTTCATAGGTGGATGCTCAACCACTGAGCCACACTAGTCGGGCTCCATGTTTTTATGGGAGTTGTATTTAACAAAGCACACCTGCTGGCTCAAGGGCATTGGGAAGTTTCAAGTGAAAAGAGGCCTCTGGGCCCCCAACTTGCGAAGGACAGCCAAAGGTTTAAGAGAGTTACTCAAAGAGCATGTTTTTCAAAGTGACCAAAAAGGTTCTGGAAGAGGAGGGATATCCCAGAGGGCAGAGGTAAGAGTCAGGATGCAATGTCTCACCTCAACAAAGAGTACTTTCCACTCCTGGGCGGCCTGCAGACAGTTCCCTGTAGGTTTCCGAATTGCTGTAGACAAGAGATTGCTGGGTGTATCCCGGCTTTCCCCTTTCCAAAGGGAAGTGTTTCCCGTCGTTATCCTTCCTTCCCCAGCTTACTGGGCAGGGTGGCAGTGCAGGGGAGATAACTCAGTCTTTTAATTTGTGGGTCTTTGGATCCAGAGGAGCTAGCTGCACCTGAGGCACCACAGCCAACATAGTACAGATCCCAAGACCCTGGTCTTTGAGCCTGATGTTGGGTTGGAGGGGATTTGTGGGGGTGTTGGGAGGAGGTAAAAGTGCTCTCCAGGTGAATAGATATGAATCACTGGGGCCAGAGGATGGACTGTGGTAGATAGGACTCTAAAAAATGCCTTCAATGTTCCACCAGCTCCCTTGCTCAGGCCCTTTGTATGTGACTTTGCTGCACCGCTCGTCAGGAGGGGCAGTTTATTACCCCACCCCTGGGATCCTAATGCCCCTGTGACTTGGTTTTTTTTTTTTTTTTTTTTTTTTTAATGGTCAATAGACTATGTCAAAAGTGCACTAGTTCTGCTTGGATTTCATGAGGTTTGCGGACTTTTTTCTGATTCTGCTTACCATGCACACTATATCCATTACCCTTCTGGGGGACAAGGGGCCAGATGGAATAGAGATGAGCCATCCCAGGCCATTCAAAACAGCTCGTTGTCTTCCAGCTAGGTGGCTGGCCAGAGGCACAGAGCACGGCTCATTCAACACCAGAACCACCCAGTTAAGTGCAGCCTAGACAGCCAACCCACAGAATCGAGCTAAGTGAGTGCTGTTTTCGGTCACAGGATTTTGTGTTTGCCATGCATTGTTATGGCAGTGGAGAGCAGATAGAGCTACTAATAACACAACTACCTTCTTTGAGAAAATTACTGTTAGGTTTGATGGAGCAATTGAATTGATACCCCTCCTCCTGGGGACTGACTTTTCAGGTCATTTCACTATGGACCTTTTGACCACATTTCACTTGCGGTGACCACAGTCCATTGTCTCCCTCTGGGTATGCACAAAGAAGTCTCCACCCAGAAAAAAGGCTGCCAAAAGTCCTTTAAAAGCCACTGACTTCCATCACTGGGGGCTGATGGAATAAAATAAATTCCTAATCCCTCACCACTCTGGCCTCCTGTGTTCTCCTTCGGCGACCTAACAATCACCAAGAGAGATGGTATGAAACCAAGTCATTCTCCATTTTTATCAAAGCTGTAAACGATTAATATACCCTCATTGCTTTTAAAATTTCATAGAATTGAAAACTTGGTGATAATTGAACTAGCCATATTAAGAAATTAAAAAAAGCAACAATTGACAAATTACATAGAACTGAAATTCAAGTTGTGGGTTTGGGGTAATATGCTAAGATAATTAGATAGTAAGATATCAACGCATCATAATAATGATGACATTTATAGTTTACTTATATATAAGAGTAATGCTGATAAAATCAACTTAAACAATACTTTTGCAGGCAAACGTTAATGTCTAATAGCTCACAACAAAATAAGTAGTACCAGAAGAGACATAAAAAAGGAAAGATTATGAAAATATGACTTAGCTTAAAAACATTTCAAATCAGCCGAAACCGGTTTGGCTCAGTGGTAGAACATCAGTCTGCGGACTGAAAGATCCCAGGTTCGATTCCGGTCAAGGGCATGTACATTGGTTGTGAGCACATCCCGGTAGGGGGTGTGCAAGAGGTAGCTGGTCGATGTTTCTTTCTCATCAATGTTTCTAGCTCTCTATCTCTCTCCCTTCCTCTCTGTAAAATATTAATAAAATATATTAAATACACACACACACACACAAACAAAAAAACATTTCAATTTAGACTTGATTAAAATTAAAAAGCAAGATATGGGTTATCACGGAATTTGATAAGAAAACAGCTCTTGAGGCAAACAATCTTGTTTGCGTTAAGTACTGCAGGAAGTCAAAGTGTGAGGCCAGTGACTTCGCATCTCAAAAAGATCCAAATGATTGAGTTGTGCTTACATCTGACGGCCAAGCACAGTTCTCTGTTTTCATGCATGCATTGCTCCGTGTCCTGTGGGGCCAGACCTTGTGTGGTGTCATGGTAAATGATTAGGATTCAGAGCCGGCCTACTGGATCTAAAGGAAAAGACCAACATGAAGCAAGCGTTATCGCGTGTATTAACTAGTGCTCTAAGCTTATTTATCTGCTATTTTAACTTATTAAAATTGTATGCTTAACTAGTGCTCTAAGCTTATTTATCTGCTATTTTAACTTATTAAGCTTAGAGCACTAGTTAAGTATACAATTTTACCTATAGGTTCCCAAAAATTCTTAGTTGGGATTCAGGAATCTGTAGTTTAACAATTCCACCGGGTGATTCTCATCATGAGAGAACTTTGGGAAACACTGGCCTAGAGACAGGAAACCCTGTTTGGAGGATGGGGAGCGAGAGAGACCTTCTACGCATGCGCGGGGTCGGCGCTGTCCCCGGTGACCTGTCACCTCGCTGCGCCTGCGCCTGCGCGCCACGTCACTTTCCGGCGCGGTCGGGGCGGAGGCGCGGGGCGGCGCACGTGGGTGCTGGCGCGACGGCGGGGCTCATGGCGAGCTCGGCTGGCCTGGCTGTGTGCGGGCAGGCGCTGGTGGTGCGGGGCGGCAGCCGCTTCCTGGCCACCACCACCGCGAGCAGGTGAGGGGCCGGCCCGGGGCGGGGAGCCAGGCCGCGGGCGCGCGTCGGCGCCTGGAGACTCCGGGGAGTTCCCTGCGCCGGGGCTGCGCTCGTGCCGGTGGGGGGCCCCGCGGGAGTCCCGCCGCTGCTCGGGGCCCCCCGCTGTCCCCTCGGCCTGGCTGCAGGCCTGCACCGATTCCTTCCAGCCCTTCTCCCCAGGACCGCCCGGGCGCTCCCCGGGCCACCTGCCCAGGGCCCCGCCCCCTCGATGGCTGGTCTGCGTTGCTCTGGGCTGGGTTCGAGGGGGCCATGTGGGACCCAGCGATGGGGGTTGGATGGGGCCAAAGCGGGGTCCCGGGGACGCCCACCAGATGGGAGCGTGGGAGGGAGGCAGCCTGGTTGGAGGGGCTGACTCGGGCGCACTCCCTCTGGCCTCCCTCGCCCTGCGTGGTGCCTCGCTTCCTCTCCCTCCTCTGCATCTAGCGACCCCGCGCCCTACTCGCTCTTCAGGATCCGAGGGTCTTCAGCGACCACTCCTTACTCGCCGGTGCACTCGGAGCCCGCAGCGCTCACCTCTCTGGTGGCCCTTAACCCAAGCTCTGCTTTTGCTTTCCTTAGGGTGCCCCAGCGTGTACACAGCGCTCGGGATTTTTAAATATATATATTTTATTGATTTTTTACAGAGAGGAAGGGAGAGGGATAGAGAGCTAGAAACATCGATGAGAGAGAAACATCGACCAGCTGCCTCCTGCACACCCCCCACTAGGGATGTGCCGCAAGCAATCTACATGCCCTTGACCGGAATCGAATCTGGGACCTTTCAGTCTGCAGACCGTCGCACTATCCACTGAGCCAAACCGGTTTCGGCAGCACTTGGGATTTTTAAATCAGGAAATGTTTGTTGGTTCCTTATTCTTGACTCGGCAGCCTCAGGGATGTTAGTAGTGGTCCGTCTCCACCCCTGTTCCTTTTCTCAGGGTTTTGATTCTCATGCTTGAAATGGACAACGCGCCTAACAAATGCACTATCCTTGCTCACTGTTCAGTGTCCTGGTTTCAGAACTCCCAACTCAGTGTTACATTTACACCCAAACCTGTCATGTACCCCAGATTACTTTGTTTTCGAGGCTCCCAGCATCTCATACGTGCCTCAGGGAGACATCCACAGTTTCTGACTTGGAGGACTAGTTCTCTTTCCTATGCTCCAGTGCTCTCTGTGAAGAGTTTAAAGGGCAGTCACTTTAAAAGCTATACGCTTATGCTGAGACCGGTTTGGCTTAGTGGTAGAGCATCGGCCTGCGGACTGAAAAGTCCTGGGTTCGATTCCGGTCAAGGGCATGTATCTTGGTTGCAGGCGCATCCCCAGTTGGGGGTGTGCAAGAGGCAGCTGGTCGATTTTCTGTCATCGACGTTTCTAGCTCTCTCTCTCTCCCTTCCTCTCTGTAAAAAATCAATAAAATATATTAAAAAAAACAACTATATGCTTGTACAAGATGCCTTCTGGGTGCCAGAAGGGTGAGGGGGAGGTGAGGAGGGGGAAGATATAGCAGAGAACTCAGGGTGACATGGGGAACATGGGTGGCTCCTGTATTGGTCAGTGCTCGGCAGCCAGGGGTGCTTTTTTGGGAAGGTGAGACAGTTTTCTAAACCAGAAATGGCAGTTTTAAATTTGGGTACGAAAAACCCCACTGAAAATGATATCAGAACACACTTCTTCCAATATAACCATTTTACATGGATGTGCTAGTGCTGAAAGAATAGGATACTTTCTTTGACTTTTGTTCTCACTTGTTTTACTAAGCGGATTTTTGTGCAGGACCGTGGCAGTTGTGTATGGCGAACCCAAATAGAGATGAGACGGATAAAGCTCCATAACTGTTGCCTGAGGTAGCGAACCCAGACAGTTAGTTACCTGTTGTGGCTGAGACCCTTAACTTAATGAATAGGCCAATATTTGTCTGTTCCAGGGAAATAAAAGAAATGAACATTTTAAGTAACAAAGTACTTAAAAAAATCTTTTTATTTTTCTCAGTGATGAAGACGACAGCCTCTTCACATATGATTGCAGTACTGCAGAAAAGAAGTCACAGGAAAATAAAGGGTGAGAGAGTGGGGAAGTCTCCTCGGGACTCGATTCATGGATGGAGTGGTGGGACCTGACAGCCTAAGAAGGAGATGGTTGTCTCCTTACTGAGCTCTTCCTTCTCTTTCCCTTGCTGGTAGAAAACCGGGTACCTCAGGAAAGGAATGTGGAATTTTCGAATTAGACATTAAGGATATTAGGACTTTTCTAAGTCCTTGTTTTTTTTTTTTAATATATTGATTTTTTTACAGAGAGGAAGAGAGTGGGATAGAGAGTTAGAAACATCGATGATAGAATCATTGATCAACTGCCTCTTACACACCCCCTACTGGGGATGTGCCGCAACCAAGGTACATGCATTTGATCGGAATCGAACCTGGGACCTTTCAGTCCGCAGGCTGATACTCTATCCACTGAGCCAAACCGGTTTCGGCTTTAAGTACTTTTTTTTTTTTTAAATTCCATTCTTAATAGGACTTGGTTATTTTTTATTTATTTATTTATTTATTTATTTTAATATATTTTATTGATATTTTACAGAGAGGAGGAAGGGAGAGAGAGAGAGCTAGAAACATCGATGAGAGAGAAACATCGACCAGCTCCTCTTGCAAACCCCCTATCGGGGATGTGCCCGCAACCAATGTACATGCCCTTGACCGGAATCAAACCTGGGACCTTTCAGTCTGCAGACCGACGCTCTACCACTGAGCCAAACCGGTTTCGGCTCTAAGTACTTTTAACTAGTTTTTGTCAATAATGATCTTATTGGCACTTTGAAATAAGGCAATCTGTTTTAAGTGCATTGGGGGCAGTTGCATGAAATTAACTTAGCTAATTGAAAGGTAAGAAAAGCAGAGTGTGATGATTTTATTTATATTTATTTTTTTAAATATATTTTTATTGATTTCAGAGAGGAAGGAAGAGGGAGAGAATGATAGAAACATCCATGATTAGAGAGAACCATGGATTGGCTGCCTCCTGCAGGCCCCCCACTGGGGATGGAGCCCACAACCCGGGCATGTGCCCTTGACCAGAATCGAACCTGGGACCTTTCAGTTCGCAGGCCCACTCTCTGTCCACTGAGCCAAACTGTCTAGGGCAAGTGTGATGATTTTATATGGTGACTTTTTTTACTAGAATTGGTCATGTGGTTCAGCTTTTTAAAAATTATTATTTAATCCTTGCCTCTGGTCTTTTTAAAAAAATATATATTTTTTATTTCAGAGAGGAAGGGAGAGGGAGAGAGAAATAGAAATATCAATGATAAGAGAGAGTCATGGATCGGCTGCCTCCTGCACACCCCCTACTGGGGATGGAGCCTGCAACTTGGGCATGTGCCCTGACCAGAAATCGAACTGGGATCTCCTGGATATTAGGTTGATACTCAATCACACTCAATCACTGTGCCACACTGGCTGGGCTCCTGCCTCTGGTCCATGAGGGAGTGGACCATGTGGGTCCTTCCACCTCAGCTCTTTTTATTTTGGGGTGCACACTGAAATTGTCCTGTTCAGTTAGCTGTTACTCCTTAAACATTAGACTGTGTGAACCTCCCACGCCCCCTAACAGGTCTGTAGTCTGGCTGCGTGAACCTCAGGCGTTTTCTACCTCTGTTCACAGTAAAGAGGAACAGGGCTGGCCTAGAGGGATGCAGCCTTCTTTCGCAGCTGAGGCCTCACGTTCTCCTTCTTCCTCAGGGAGGACGGACAGCCCGTGGAGAAGGGGAGTGACACGATCCTGGCGTCCACCTTCTCCAAGTCTGGCAGCTATTTTGCTTTAACCGATGACAGTAAGCGTCTGATTCTTTTCCGTACAAAACCATGGCAATGTCTGAGTGTCAGGTATGAAATGCTAACGTTGAATAATTACCCTGTTGAACACACAACTTACACTTGCTTGCCAATAACAGTAGTGACAGTGACGATTCTAATACGCAACTAACACGTAGCTGTATGCCCAGGGCCTGTGACAGGGGTGGGGACATGGTTCTCACTCATAGCTGCTGGCCAGGAGTCTGGAAGCTGATCCCAGTCAGTTTAGGAGGGCAGAGTCAGCCCTGTCCCCTCATTCTGTCTTCCCTGAGGCTGCATGGTTTAAATGTCCCTTGATAATCAGAGAAAACACATGCCGGTTGTAATGTTTGAATTACAAAATGACCAAGATGAAGGAATTTCCCTTTGTGTTGGGGACAGCTATGCTTTTAAAATTTTTATTTCATCTAATTTCCTAAGAGAAGAATAAAAAGCCAAATTCCAGGTGACATCACAAGCAAGGAATACCCACTCTGCCCTGTGTTCCATTCAGGTTAAAAATAAAGCCTGGTAACAGTATTCCATTTTTATCTTATATGTGTTTTCATATATCAGGCAATAGATGACCGTAATAGATGACTTAACAGCTTTAAAAGACAAATTAAACAGAAGGATATAGGATGTACAGTGAATTGTAAATCTCCGCCTCCTCGCTCCAGTTCTCCCCACAGGCTGTTGGAATTTCCCTGTAACATAAAAGTTTGCAGCCATGTATGCAGGTTATAATTGATACTGAATCGCTTTTTGTAGCTGACTGCTATAATTCACGTTATCCTTAACTTGAAAGACCTGTTAGGCAGCATCTCCTTGCCCAAATAGCCTGGACATTAGCCAGTGTTCAGATTCTAGAAGATATGTGCTTTCAGGATTTGGGGTAAATACTACAAGGGGCCTTCGGGTCTGACTGAGCTTCTCAAACAGATCCTTGTACTTGGCCTTGGTTGTGAAGTGTTCCCACAGCCTGTGGGAAGGAGAGGGATGTGAGGATGAGAAGCAAGTCTGAGAGAAGCAAGCCAGTGAGAGCAGTCACAGAGGATGGTAGCTGCCTTTCTCTGCTTGGGCCTCCGTGACAAACACCACAGCGTGAAAAACCCAGAGTTCTTCCTTACAGTCTGGTGCTGGGATTCTGAGATCAAGTTGTCGGCAGGGTTTGCCCGGAGGCCTTTCTCCTTGGCTTGTAGATGGCTGTCCTCTTACCGCCTCCTCAGCATCGGCCCTCTGTGCCTGTGTCCGAGTCCCTGGTGTCTCCTGGTGTTCCCGAACATAATAAATCTCACTTATCTGTAGGAGAAGTTCCAAAAATGAATCGTCTGGTCAAAAGATAGGTGCACTTGTAATCTAGGTAGAGAGTCCCAGATTCCTTCCCAAGGGCTCCTGTCTCCGCTCCCAGGTGTAAGGTGCCTTTCCCACCCTGGCCAGCACAGGGGGTGTGGAACCTGTGACCAGACAGTCTGATAGAAGGAAGTTGGTGTTCTGTTTACGAAAGTGTGAGTGAGGGGAGCACATTTTATTCTTTAAAAAAAAAAAAAAAAAAAAAAAAAAAAATATATATATATATATATATATATATATATATATATATATATATATATATTTTAATTGATTTTCTTTTTACAGAGAGGAAGAGAGAGGGATAGAGAGTTAGAAACATTGATGATAGAAACATCGATCAGCTGCCTCCTGCACACCTCCTATTGGGGATGTGCCCGCAAACAAGGTACATGCCTTTGACGGGATTCAAACCTGGGACCCTTCCGTCCGCAGGCTGAGGCTCTAACCACTGAGCCAAACTGGTCAGGGCTATTCTTAAGAACCCTGTCTTGTGCTCTGGCTTCTCAGAGTGAGCTTTGCTTCCCCCCGGGCTGCTCCCTTCTCGTTTGGTTATCAGGAAACTCAGGTTCCCATTTGAGGTAGAGGAGCCCACACACAGGTACTTTGACATGGCCTCTCGGTAGCTCAGCTGGAGAGCCGCTCAGGGCTATGGAGGCGGGTGAGCCTGTTCCTGGCGCTTGCATTGCCGGCATACTTTTCAAAGGCCGGGGCCATGTCTGCTGCAGGCCTGCGGTTTCTGTGCGGCAGGACCTGGTCAGGGCAGCGTCGGGGGCATGGACGGGGTCAGGGAGGCGAGGCCAGCTGCTTTGGTTCTTTGGGTTACACGGTGGGTCCCGCTGTGGGAATTTACAGCTCTCCCGTGGGCACGTCCTACTGCAGCTGCTTTAAACTTCACCTTGGAGTTCCGAGGAAAAGCTGAGAAGGACGGGTAGCAATGACATTTTAGGGTAGCAATGACATTTTTCAAGGTAAAGTTTAGAGTGACTAAGGGCAGAGAACCTGTGAACTGGGCAAGTCAGAAGGACTTCAGTCTCAGAACTGAGGCCAGAAAAACAAGGTTTTTGGAATAAAAAATGAGGACATGATGTTTTCTATTTTGGTATTTTCTGTTTCTGATGTATTCATGAGAAGTCTTACACACGGAACCACACCATTTTATAAAACACCTGTATTCAAAGGATAAAAGCCCCTGGAAAAGGCAGAGCCTCTGGACATCAGGTCTGGGTTTGTTCTCCCCACAGGGTCTGAAGATGGGGGAGTGGCTGCTGGGATGTGTGCTGTGGGGGAGCTTTTGAACCCAGGCACTCCATGAAGGGAGGGGGGGTGCTGAGGTGCTGTATAGGAGACCCTGTATAGGAGACCCTGTAAGGAGGTCCTGTATAGGAGACCCTATAAGGAGGTCCTGTATAGGAGACCCTGTAAGGAGGTCCTGTGTAGGAGACCCTGTGTAGGCGGAAGATTGCTGTGGCTCTGCCTTCCCCAGGGTACTTTCCCCTGGGCAAGCCCAGAGGCCTCCTAACTGTCCTGTCCTATGACCTGCCCTTCCTCTCCCTTCTGCTACCCGACTCCCCTGGACCCAAACCCCTACACCTACTCTGTAAGGCTCAGCTGCATCCTGGAATCATGGCCAGGCCCAATTTAGCCTGAGCAGCTGAAAGCCGCCATCTGGTGCGAGACAAAGGGACATGATGCGGAGTCTGGCAGGAGCTGGTGGGAAGGGTGCTGTAGGGGGTGGGGGGAAGGTGGGGCTGGATACTCTGGGGTGGCTGAGCTCCTGGGATCCCAGCCCAGCACTCCGGAGGACTGTCCTAGCTGCTCCTCCAGAGCGGGTGGCTGGGATGTCACAGCTGCTTAGGTGGCCTATGAGAATGGGGACAGCCATTGTTGAATCACAGGGCTGGGCGAATTTTGAGGGATCTTACCCAGAGCCTGATTGTCTCTCTTGTCATTGCTTTCGCCATGTGTATTGTGCCTCCTCCTGCGGTCCTCAGGCCTGCTGGCTCCAATGGCAGTGAGGCCTGGGCGGCTGCCTCCGGCCTTTCTGTGCATGTCCCTGTGCTCCTGAGAAGCACAGGGGCCTGTGTGGATGGTGTGTCGGGGTCATAATTCCTTTAGGCTTAGTTTCCATTTCAGGCTGACACCAGTTCCACATGCTGGGCGCACGGCCTGTGGCAGGCTCTTGTCAGTGTGTCAGCCAACCTGGGGCATCTCTCTGGCCTCCTAGGACCGTGGTGAGGAGATGCACAGCCCTGACCTTCACGGCCTCTGAGGAGAAGCTTTTGGTGGCAGACAAGTCTGGGGACGTTTACTCCTTTGCAGTGCTGGAGCCGAATGAATGCGGCAAACTTGAACTTGGGCACCTGTCGATGCTGCTGGATGTGGTATGTGGTGGTTGAAGTGCTTATTAACTGCTGTGGTCGGGCTTAGATGGAGGTGGGGCGGGGGTGAGGGCGGGGGTATGCGCTGGGCGTCTGGGTGGGTGCGGGTCCTCCTGTGGCAGGAGGATTGGGATCCAGGGACATGAGCCTGACAGCAGGGCGAGTGAGGAAGGTGCTGGGTGGTTCCAGATGTGAGGTCAGCCCAGGTCAGGGTGATGCGGTGGAGGAGTGCAGTCACGAGGTCAGAGTTCATCCTTCAGGCTTCACAGGCATCTCCATGGCCTCCTCCCAACTCCTGAGCCAGGAGCTGTAGCCATGGGGACACGCAGGTATAATGGGGGAGTCAGGACTTGGTGACTGTGAAATAGGAGGGAGAAGAGGTGACTCTGGTGCTGGAGACAGGAAGCCATGGGTGGCAGTAAGGAACTGTGTTGAGATGGTTCTTCATGGATATGGAATGGGGACTGGAGATAAGAGGTCAGAGGGGGGGTGGAGGGGAGTGGCTCTGGATGTCCCGTGACTGGATCTGTCCTTTCTCACCCCTCGCACAGGCCGTGAGTCCTGACGACCGCTACGTCCTCACCGCCGACCGGGACGAGAAGATCCGGGTGAGCTGGGCCTTGGCACCGCACAACATCGAGTCCTTCTGCCTGGGGCACACCGAGTGAGTCTCCTCTGCCTGGGCTGGTGTCTGGGGCGAGGTGGTTCCTCAGGCTGAGGGACAGCTGGTCTGAGCCTGGCCCCTGGGCGTGTTGCTGCTCCTCCATCCCCTACATCTTCCATGTCCCCCCTTCCACTCCCCCTCCCACCCCCGGCATAGAAGGCGGCTGGTGCTATGTGTGGGCAGCTGAGAGGAGCACAGGGTCTGTCCAGCAGGGTGGCTGGCTTCGTTGGGTCTGGGGGCCCTTGGTGGAGACTGTTGTGTTGCTGGGTTCCTGAGAAAACATGCCAGTGAGCTCCCAGCCTCCGCATCACTGTCCACACGGCATCACCAGTTACACATTACTCATCAGTTTTGTTGGCGGTCAGGGTTTTGGGAGCACAGGCTTGTCTCGGAGGTGACTGGGGTCGTGCGGAGGTCACAGCAGCTGCGGCTCACTCTGCTTCTCTGTGCTGCAGGTTCGTGAGCCGCATCTTCGTGGTGCCCGACCACCCTGAGCTTCTGCTGTCCTCATCCGGGGTGAGTGCCACTCTGTCACGGGCCCCCTGGGTTCCCCTGTGGTGACTGAGCAGGAGCCGTGCTGGCAGCCATGAGCTTGTCCTTTGTTCCCAGTCATGGCTTGGAAGTCAATGTCCCGTTTTCACTGGTGACCGGCCACTAGGTGGTGCCTGTTTTCTGCATTTTAGAGCTGGCTGTGAACTTGGGTGTGTGTACATAGATCTGTGTGTGTAGAGCTAGAGGGTCTTGTGCAGGGAGTTCGTTCTAAGGGCTATAGTTACATCTGTAATATAATAGTTACAACCGTGATCTCACTTCCAACAGTTGGTAGAGGAAGAGGAACCCTTTCTGAGTCATAGGGACCTGGATTTGGTCGCCACTGCTGGCACATGCTCAGTATCCCATGCGTTTCTCCTGTGCAAATGCCTGATCATTGATGTGCCCGTGTGTTTATGCATGTGTATGCTCATGTGTGTGCATAACTCCAGCCCCCATATAGCCTGGCATGTGACATCATGAAGCCATGTGTCCTTTGCTCATTTTGCTGTGTGTGGCTACCCATTTTTCTTTCTATAAAAAAAATTTTTTTTCTTAAAAATATTAAAAAATATTTTATTGATTTTAGAGAGGAAGTGGGGGAGAGAGAGAGAGAGAGAGAAACATCAGTGATGAGAGAATCATTGATTGGCTGCCTCCTGCAAGCCCCCTGCTAGGGATTGAGCCTGCAACTCAGGTTTGTGTCCTGACCAGGAATTGAACCATGACCTCCTGGTTCATAGGTCAACGCCCAACTAGACTCACACTGGCCAGGCCCATTTTTCTGAATGACTTGCACGAGCTCGTTAGAGCAAAGAGCCGTTGGTTGAGAAGGGCGCTTCGGTTGTCCCAAAGATGCCATCCCCACGACCTGGGGAAGCCTGGGTGCTTGGGAGGGTGCCATGCCCTGAGAGGTCTGCTGACCTGTCCTTGTGTGCAGGACTGCACCCTGAGGCTCTGGGACTACAGACGTGGCCAAGAGCTGCACTGCTGTCACCTGACCAGCCTGCAGGAGCCAGCGGGGCCCTGGAGCGACAAGGTAACCGCGTTTGTCTGGGTTGTGGGGGCTGCAGGATGCCTCTCCAGGCACTCGGGTGTCGAGAAAAAAAAATGTTTTACGTTGGAAACATTTCTCTGCTGTTAGTGCAGCTGGAACTTTTCCAGCTTGGGCGAAATCATGTATTTCAAATTCTAGGCAGCTAGTCAAGTAAGTGGGCAATAATTTATATTCTTAACCATGTTTGCATTTGAACAGCTAATTATAGAAAGGCCTCTAATCCACTTGGAAATGGAAAAAACTGGGGCCAGAGCAGAGAGCCTGGCTGTGGTTTTATCAGTGGGCAGCCGGCTGGTACCCTCCCAGCATTCTGTTGTCCGTCATGGATTAACCTCATGACCCCCCCAGTTCAGGTTGCCTGGGTATTTGGTTGCCAAGGAGATTTCCAGGGGAAAGTGTGGGCTGCCTTTCAGAATGCCGAGGATTCTGTGCTCGTGGACACCCAGCTCTGATGCTCCTGAGCTGGTTCTGTGCAGCCGGTCCGGGGTGGTCACATGTGGACGGCCCTGCCAGCTTCCCAGAGGCCCGCCTGTCCTGGTGGAGAGGGAGGGAAGGACTGCTGTCATGTCTACTGAGGCCTGCAGAGCTGGGTACCCTCTGCCTGTCCCCAGGGCACCATGCCCTTTCCCCTGCAGCCCCATGTGGAACTCTGCTCTCCTGCATGTCTGATAAGACCTCGGTGTGAAGTGCAGGGCTTGTCTGCCTGGTCCTCGGCTTGGCTTCTCATTTCCGTTGTCTGTTCTGAGACACTCCATGGCAGCTGTCCCCACAGGCCCTCAAAGGGGACAGGCTGGGCCTGACCCAGGCCAAGGTCTCTCGGACCCCTAGATGAGTCCCTTCAGGGACCACCAGGCCAGTGGCGCCAGCTGTTCTGCGGCCCCACGGCGCCTCCTGCTGGCTCTCTGCAGTTGTGGAAGCTGCAGCAAACAGGCCTGACTTTTTCCTGCTGAATTCTCACCTGTGTGCCTCACTTAACCTGATGCTCCAGCAGCGAGGTTGATGTGAGCTCTTTCTGAAGGGGACCCCGGCCTGCTGGTGCGCCGGCCTGCAGGACCGGGCGCAGCCCTGTCTCAGGCGCCTGGCTGCTCCGGCCTTGTGGATGCTAGGCCCTTTCCTTTCCATTTCTGACTGGTGCCCAGTGTTTCATTCTTGCTGGACATGTGTGCACCTGTAGGGAGGGTGTGTCTGTACTGAACAATCCCCTTCTTTTCCACTTGTATTCTCTGTTCCCTTCGTTCTTGCTTTTTAACCGATTTCGTTGGCTTTGGAGACATTCTGCTGTCCAGAGGGAGGGCCAGACCATGGAGAGGCGTTACTGTGAAACAGGAAATCAGCCCTTACCTTTCTTTTGTTTTTTTCTTTTTTAAAAATACTTTTATTGATTTCAGAGAGGAAGGGAGAGAGAGAAACATTAGGGATGAGAAGGAATCACTGATTGGCTGCCTCCTGTACACCCATACTGGAGATCAAAGCCCGTAACCCCAGGCATATGCCCTGACCCGGAATCAAACCGTGACCTCCTGGTTCATAGGTCGATGCTCAACCACTGAGCCACACAGGCTGGGCAAGGCCTTGCCTTTCTTGTCACCCCGTAGTTTGCAGAAAGTTCTGGCACTGTCTTCTCTCTCATCCGGGAACTCAGTCTTGCAGCGTGTGCTCAGTGGGAGTGGACCAGGCCAGGGTTGGCCCCTGATGTGCATTTAAGCTGCTGCTTTCCTTGCAGAGGTTTGCCGCATCCAGGATTGCTTACTGGAGCCGGGACAGCTGGGTGGCGCTGCTGTGTGATCGGTAAGCTCACTGCTCTGGTCCCCTCCAGCCATAAGGGAGGGAATGCATGGATTGTTCCATTGGCCCCATTCTGTCTCCTAAATCGGAGGTTTTAGTTGGTGTATTGGGACCACAGCTCCCTGTGGGGGCGGGTATATGTCTCCCTTTTTGAAGTTGCTGTGGTGTGTGGGTGAGGGTTCTAGAGGCAGGCAGTCTTTAACAAGCTGTTTAAACCCACTGGCTTAATGGACGCAAGGCCTCGGACGGGCCTTTTGTGTGTGATCAATCTCACTAAGGGTGGATTGTGGCAGAGTCTGCCTCAGTCAGTCCCGCTGGGAGCGTTCTCGGTAGACCCTCCTGAAGGCCAGTGGCTGGTGAGATGGATTAGGTAGCACATCCCTTAGCTCTCCTCCTGAGCATCTTCTCTCTCCTCACTTGTCCTCATAACAAGTCTAGGGAGGGCATCTCAGCTTGTCTTGGAAATAAGGACGCAGGTTTAGAGACGGTGAGAGTGCCTCCAGGACGTGTCCTGTCCGCTGCCTGCAGGTGGGACAGCCTGGCTCTGTATTGGTGTCTTTGTTGTGTAACAAGTGACCCCAGGACTTGGTGACTCGGATGTTCCTTACCTCAGTGGCTCAGGGTCTAGGAGCGCTCAGTGGGGTGCTTCTGGCTCAGGGTCTTGTGCAGTTGCAGCCAGAACGTTGGCGAGACCGTGTCTCTGGCTCGGGCAGGCCCGGCTGAGGCTGAGCTGCTGGCGGGGTGGGCTGTGGGAGTTGTAACGATCGCCCTCTCTTTCTCGCGGGAAGTGTCCCTGTGGTCTACATCTTCCAGCTGGAGGCCCCCAGGCGGCAGCTGGTGTACAAGCAGCAGTTGTCTTTCCAGCACAGCGTGTGGGACGCTGCTTTCGAGGAGAGCCGGGGGCTGTGGGTGCTGCAGGACTGCCGGGAAGCCCCCCTCGTGCTCTGCAGGCCTGTGGACGGCCAGTGGCAGGTGAGTTGTGCGGGGCCCCTCTGTCCGCTGAGCCTGGGGCGGGGGCAGGGCCACAGCTCTCACACCTTTCAGCTGACCGAGCCTTGATGCCAGAGGGTGGGTCCTGGACTTGTGACCTGGGAGAAGCGAGCTGGGTACTCGGCTATCTTGTCCAGTGTCCTGAGCCTGCGGTGGCCTTTTGGGAGGCTCACCTTCCCAAACTGGCAGGTTTTCTCTGTTCCTGTCCTGTCACACTTTTTGTTTTATTTTATTTTGTTATTTTGTTATTTTATTTTTTAAAAATATATTTTATTGATTTTTTACAGAGAGGAAGGGAGAGAGATAGAGAGCTAGAAACGTCGATGAGAGAGAAACATCGACCAGCTGCCTCTTGCACACCCCCTAACGAAGACGTGCCTGCAACCAATGCACATGCCCTTGACCGGAATCGAACCTGGGACCTTTCAGTCCGCAGACCGACACTCTACCACTGAGCCAAACCGGTTTCAGCTATTTTGTTATTTTTAATCAGAGAAGCTGATACTTTTGTTATCCTTAAGTTTGCAGCTTAGCATGGCCTTGCGCCTGGGGCCGTGGCCCCACTGGTTAGAGGAGCCGCCGGGTTTGGAGGAAGTGTGTGAACCCGCCCTTCTCTGAGTCATCCCCACATCCTTGAAGTGGGGTGTCCTCTCCTTCCTGTCCGTGCCTGGCAGGACTGCCGTGGGGAAGGATGGGAAAAGCGTGCCTTTCCTGTCCTCACAGACGCTCGCTTGGCCTAGTGGCCACAAGAACCACTGAAGCTTACAGGGGTTTTATCTGGACAGTGGCAGAGAACAGAATGCCACCAGCTGGTGCCAGGCTTCGTAGATAAAGTCACAGCCAACATGCCAGTACGTGAGGTGCCAGCAGCCCTCGTGCCATGGGTTTTATCCTGACAAGATGTGGCTGCCGTGTTTGGTGAGCCAGCTTCACCTGGTCTCATGTAGATTCACAGGGTCTTCCCAGGCCCTGCAGTCCGGGCCACAGGTCTGCCTGTTGTGCCGGCAGCACCTTCTGATGCAGGTTTTCCCTTTGCCTCCAGCCTGTGCCTGAAGACGCCGTGGTGAGGACCCTCTGCATGCAGCTCCGCGGGCACTGGGCCATGCTGGAAGGTGAGGGCCAGCCTGTGTTTCTGGGAAACATCCGACAAAGCAGGTTCTAGGACACTATGAAAATATAGGGTATATGGGGCCTCATGCAGCTGGACCCGAGCCGAGCTTAATTGTCCTAAGAGGCTCCGCAGATAAACACCTGCTTGCAGTACAGGTCGGTGGAGCTTGGAGAGGGCATGCGGAAGGTGAGTTCACCTTGAAAATCACAGAAGGGTAGGAAAGCCGAGAGAGCTGGGATGTCACTCCTGCGGGCAGGTGAAGGTCAGGCCTGTGCATCCTTGACGGGCCCTGTGGCGTTCCCACCAGCTGAGGGGTCTCAGGAATAGCGGGAGTTGGTGTTTTCTTAAAAGTGAGTCAGATCCAGCTGTGCGGCTACCAGTGGGGGCCTCGTGAGAGTCGCCTTGGAGAAGGCACTGGAGTCCACAGAGACTGGGTGGCTGCTGGGTGGATTCCCTGCTGCAGGAGGGTCTGGCAGGCCCATCAGATCTTGCCGTTAGAGGCGGCGTCCCATGATGTCCTGCGTCACCGCCCCCAGCGGCGTGAGGGCATCATCCACTCTTGTTCCCCCTGCACAGGCGCTGCCGGCGTGGACGAGGGCTTTAGCAGCCTGTACAAGGCCACCTTTGACAACGTGACCACTTACCTGAAGAAGAAAGAGGAGAGGTTGCAACAGCAGCTTCGGAAGAAGCGGCATAAGAACCCACCCCCTGGGCCCAACGGGCAGACCAAGAAGGTGAAGGCCGGGGAGGCGTCCTGGAGTGGCTCCTCCTAGCCCTGGTGATGGCTCTGGCCTCGAGAGAAACTTTAACTTGAGCCCTCCTTGCCACCAGCTCCCTGTGAGGAAAAAGGGGCACATCACTGCCCACTCCGCTTGGTGGCAGTGAGGTCCATACAGCTCCCAGATTGCTGGGCTGGCCCAGTAACTGAGGGTGTCCCGGGCTCTAGAACATTCTGTCGCTGAGCAGAGGTGTCTTGAGCTTCCTCTGGTTGCACAGAAGCCGGATGGGAGAGACCCTGCAGGTGAGCAGCTCGGTGCCGGGAAGCGCTCCATCTTCATGGTGGGGGACCTGTGAACCGTTCCCTGACACTGGTTGGTTTTTCTCTCTTCCCATAATGCCCTTGCCAGCACACTCCCTCCAGGGGAGTCCATACAATTGGTGTCACAGCGGCGTGAGGGGCATTTGCATTTTTCCATCAGTGGTCTTTCTGGAGGGTGGATGGCACTCTCCGCAGTGCTGTTCCCCATGCGGGCCGTCAGCCTGAGCAGCAGGGAGTCTCAGTCCCCCCCCCCCCCCCCAGCCTGGCATGTGTCCGCCCCATGCAGCGTGGGCTTCTGCTCGGCTGCAGGCATGCAGGCTTGGCGGGCACAGCGGAGAACTGGACTTTCTCAGGACACAAGAACATGTAGAATGTGGGAGATCTGCAGGGAAATGGTTGATGACACGTGCATTGATTGATTTGAACTTTGGGCACATGTCACAAAGAGCAGGGTGTCAGCTGAATTAAATCGCCAATCAATAAAGATGAGCATTTGCAGCTTCTGGAAGTGTTTAGCAGCAGCATGTGGAACTAATTTCAGAATGCACTGAGCAAAGCCGTGTTTGATGAGTGTACTGTTTGTGACTGAGCAGCTCACTCTTTGATTTGAAGAAAGCATTCTTCAGTGTGGGGTTTCATGAGGTCCGTGGAAACAAATCGTTCTGTGTATCAAAGCCGGAGTGCTTCACATTTTCCCTAAGTGCCTTGTTTCACTTTGATCTGAAAACTGTTTGTGCCTTGCTCAGGATCGCTTCCTGCAGGAGCAGCCCCAAGCGAGGGGCCAGGGACAAAACTAGTTCAGGAGCAGCGGGTGGTGCTCAGGCGGAGGGGGGACCTGAGGTGAAATGGGGCCCCCAGGGTAGAGGGGGTTGCCTGTTAGCACTGCATTGGGCCCAGGGTGTAGTCATAAAAAATACTGCTTTGAAATTCTTGGTTTTAGGAGAAATTTAGGTTTGGTCTTGTTAATGTCATGTCTTAAGATTGGTCAGCAAACTGGCCTGCAGACCAAATCCCGTCCGCTCCTGGTTGTACAGCCTCCGAGCTAAGAATGGTTTTCAGTTTTAAATGTCTATAAAAGATCAAAAGAAAGGTAATACTGCATGCTACGTGAAAATCATATGCAATTCCAATTCCTGTGTCCGTAAATGAAATGTTACAGGGTGCGGTTACGCCTATTCGTTCAGGTGTGTGGTCTGTCTGCTGTGCCCTGCAGCGGAATAGGGAGCTGGCAGGAAGGACAGCCTGCAGAGCCTAAGCTGGTGATTGCCCAGCCCTTTCCAGAAGAGTTTGGGCACCTATTTATGCCCTTTTTAAATCACTGAAAATTTAAAAAGGAACTGGTTCGTTTATTTGGAGAAAACCCAACTGTTCTTACTGTGTTCATCTTGAGCTTTTGCATCAAACACTCATGGTGTTCCCTGTGGGCAGGTAGAGCATGGGCCTGACAGGTCAGTCCTGGGCATTGCTGCCCAGATTGGGAGCGAGTGGGGCGGGAGGTGGTGTGGGGGGAGGGGAGGAGGTCTGGGGGAATGGGGCTGTCTAAGGAGGCCCCTTTGCTTACACATACCTGATAGTATAGGGTGTTGCCCAGAGCAAATGCCAGTAGATCAGAGCAGAGCTTGGGGGAAACTCTTTCTAGTGGTTGCTTTTCTTTAAAAATTTTTTTTTAAAATTGATTTCAGAGAGGAAGGGAGAGGGAGGGAGGGATGAAGGGAGAGAGGGAGGGAGAGAGGGATGAAGGGAGGGAGAAAGAGAGGGAGAGGGGAACATCAGTGATGAGAGAATCATTGATTGGCTGCCTCCTGCATGCTTCCCCTCCCCTCTTAACCCCTGCACTGGGATCAAGCCCGCAGGCAATTCAGGCATGTACCCTGACCAGGAATATGAATGGTTCATAGGCCAATACTCAGCCACTGGGCCACACTGACTGGGCAAAGGTTTTAAATCTCTTGGTTTTCTCACACACTCCTACTGGTACTTTTCTCACTTTTTCGATTCTTTTTTGGTTTCTACATGCTTTACTTTGGAGAGATTCCTTGAGCTTTGTTCCAACTCATTCATTTCTGTATTTTTAATATTAAATTTATTTAATTGATTGATTTTTAGAGAGAGGAAGGGAGAGAGAAATATGAGCTTGTTGTTGCACGTATTTAGGCATTCATTAGTTGATTTTTGTATGTGTCCTGACTGGGATCAAACCCACAGCCTTGGCATACCAGGTCGATCCTCTAACCAACTGAGCTGCTCTGCCAGGCCCACCACATTTATTGATTTTAAAAAATCGGGTTATATTTCTTAATTCTAAGGGCTCTAGTTCTTCTTTCATTTTGATTCAAGTGCAGTATACAAGAAGGGCATCTGGGATGCACAAACTGAAATTTCACTGGACACGCATGTAACAGTCTCCACCAGAAACAGGACATTTACCCACAGCTGAGAGGTCCCTAAGTTCCTTCTTACACCCCTCTCCCCAGTGAAAGTCGGGCGATTTAACAGGTTAGTTTGCTTTGGCTCAGGTGTTTGGGTGAGATTCCTTTACACTGCTGCATGGTTGTACATTGTTCATTCTTGTTGCTGCCTAGTATTCCCACATGCGGAAATACCACCATGTATCCAGTCTACTCCAGCTGGCATTTGAATCGTTTCCAAACTGGCTGCAGGGAACATTCTGGTCCTTGTCTTTGGCACATATGTAAACATTTCTGTCCGCTGTATGTTTAGGAGTGGGATTGCTGGCCCACAGTTCTGTTTAGCTTGGACGATGCTCCTATCCTTGTTAATTCTAACCCTCCACAGCACGTAACATCTGGTGCGTTCTCATGCTCTACGTATGAGGTGATGATGTTGAATTTGGCAAAGGCACAAACCTGAGAGCATGGGAATCAGTGAAGCTGCCCACCTGTCTGTCAAACTGAAACTTGATCTTGCTCTGGGCAAGGTCACCTTCAAAACAACGTGGCTGGCCCAGTTTGGGGGATGCCAGCCATAGGTCCTGAGGACACTCCAGCAGCCTGTGTTGGGATCAGCATGGCAAGGAGCTGGGATCTCGTGCTGACAGCCAGCGACGGACCACCGAGACTGAGCTGTCTTGGAAGAGCTGCTTTCTGTACACTGAACACCGTGGGTTCCTCTGAAGCACCATTTCCTCGAACCCTTATGTGCTGACATGTATTCTTTCTAATTTCCCTTCTATTTCTTTGATCTGTGGATTATTTGGATGTATGGTTTAATTTTCAGACATTTGATTCTTTTATCTTCTCGCTGTTGGTTTCTGGTTTTAATTCCATGGTGGTCTTAGGATATATGTTGATTTCATTCCTTTAAAATTTACTGAGCTTTGTTTTCTGCTCACAAACGGTGGTTATTTTATGTGCCCTTGGAAAGAATGTGTCTGAGTTGTTGGCCGGAGTACTGTTCTGTAAATGTGGATTAGATTAAGTTGGTGATATCAACATGAAAACTACCATCTTCCTCATTTTGTGCATGTCTGTTATTGAAAACAGCATTTAAATGTCTGTAAGTGTGGTTTTACCTAATTTTCCATTGTCTTCCTGGTTTTGCTTCATGGATTTAAATATTCTGATATTTGGTTTGTACACACTTGGGGATTTGTTATCTTGAGGAATGACCCCATCTTCATGAAACATCCTCTCTTTATTTCTAGTTCTGTTCTTTGCTCTGAAGTATAAATAATGTTAATGAAGCCACTTCAACTTTCTTTTGATGTGTGTTAGCATGGAATTTCCTTTTTCACCCTTTTTTAACATGTATGCCTTTATTCTTAAAAATGGACTATTTGTAGACCATATGCCCTTAAAAAAACACACCTCAGCCTGGCTGGTGTGGCTCAGCAGTTGAGCATTGACCCAGAACCACGAGGTCTCCAGTTCAATTCCTGGTCAGGGCACATGCCCGTGTTGCGGGTACCATCCCCAGGAGTGGGTGTGCAGTAAGCGGCCGAGTAATGATGTTCTTCTCTCATTGATGTTTCTATTTCTCTCCCTCTAAAAATCAACTAAAAAAAAATTTTTTTAAAACAAAAGAAATAAAAAAAAATCCAACCCCAAGTCATTGGATTTCAATGGAAATACATCCTGAGCCATATATGTAGTTGGAAGCATTCCAGCTTTGCAAAGTGTTTAAAAAGCAGGTGAAATAAATGTGACAACACAGTTCATCTAAGTCAGTACAGCACAAATAGTCTCAACAAATAAAGCCTAGGTGGGGTTATGAATAAGCTATTAATACTTTCTTTTTATTTTATTAAAATTTTTTTTAATCTTTATTGTTCATATTATTACAAAGATTCCTCATTTCTTCCCCCCTCCACCAGGTTCCCACCCCACCCTCCACCCCCTCCCCACCCCCCATTGTCCTCATCCATAGGTGCATAGTTTATGTTCAGTCTCTTCCCCCCTCCACCACTCCCCTTCCCCCCCACCCCAACAGTCAGTCCACTCCCCTCCCATATCGCCAACTCTACTACAATGAACAGCTATTATTGTTCATCAGGTTTTTCAATCTCTTTTTTTTTTTGTTGTTGTTTTTTTTTAATTAATAAACTTTTACACTTCTAAGAATAAATTTTAAAATCTAATAATTTTAAACCTTGTTTTTTTTTCTGCCCTAGAAATTGAGAAGCAAACTTGTTTACATGTAAACCTGCCCTTAGGCTATCAAAAGGTGTAGCCTTTCAAGTGTAAATGGACACATTTTTTAAAGATAGCTGCTGGCTGGAATTGGATTACCTGTTCTGGGTGGGAAGGGCATGTCCTCCCCTTTCTCCATTAAAATTAAGGTGTTAGCTTTAAAACCTCTTTTTGGCAAGAGACCTTAAACTTTCAGATCTTTAAATTTTTCAGATAGTAAATCAGTTACTTAGCATTTTCTCAAATCAATAATACCTCCACATGCCCAAGGATACACTTCACACAAAAGACATTTCCCAATAGATCAACCAACCTCATCCAGGCCCCACACAAGGCACTCACAGATCAACACCCCAGCGCTATACTAACTCAACACATCCAGATCTAAGCCTTCATCACTTGATTCAGCAGACCCTCAAGTTCTCCCAAAAGTGTCCAACCATGTCTGAGTGGTAGCCTTGGGGCGGGGGCAGGCAAAGAGCGAGCTGTTCTGGGCCTGGCTGCTCTGGGCCTGGCCTCTGTTGCTCTGGTCCGTTCCACAACCAGCTGCTCCGGGTCTGGCCACTGCCGCTCCCGGCCTGGCTGCTGCTGCTCTGGGCCTGGCTGCTCCGGGCCTGGCCGCTCCCAGCCTGGCAGCTGCTTATGCTCTCTTTTTAATGCTCATTTGGTAGGTTTGCTTTATCTGTGCAGCTCCCCTTTGCAGGCTCTGTCCCAAATTGGAATTGCCTCAGCCTCCGAAATCCAGTTGGTCTTCCCTCTTTTGGCTTGTCCTCCTCGGGCTGCGGTCAGCATCCCTTCCAGGCCCAGATCCTCAAGGGTGAGCAGCCGAGTGGGAGGTTGGTTCCTCACCATTGTCTCCCATGGTTCTTGTTGCAATTTGAATTTATGTTGTGACAAATGAGTTAGGATGTCTTTTTATTTATTTATTTTTAAACATTTTTATTGGTTTCAGAGAGGAAGGGAGAGAAACAATGATGAGTGAGTTGACCAGTTCAGTTGGCTGCCTCCTGCATGTCCCCTACTAGGGATCAAGGCTGCAACCTGGGCATCTGCCCTTGACAGGAATCAACCTGGGACCCTTCAGTATTCATGCCAACGCTCTATCCACTGAGCCAAACCAGCTAGGGGTTGGGCATCTGTTCTTTGAATGCTCTTTATAGTCTCTTTTGCACATTTTTTTTTTTTTTTAAGAGGATGGCTGATTGAAGGTGATCTTTTTAGTCTACACCTGCTGTATGAATTGCAAATTTTTTCCAGTTTGATTTGGCTTTTTCAGTGTTCTCTTCTTAATACAGACGTTTTCATAGTCAAATTTATTCATCTTTTTGTTTGTGCTCTCTGGGTACCAGGAAGGTTTTTCTCCACTCCCTCCACTTTTGAAATGCCCCCTTTATGAAGGGGAGACAGAGTGTAGGACTGAGGACAGAAACAGGCACACCTGATATGAGGTGACGACCAGAGGCTGGTGGGAAGTGAACTTATGGGAAGACTGATTTCCACATCAGAAGCCAGTTAGGCCCTAGCCGGTTTGGCTCAGTGGATAGAGCATCAGGCTGTGGACCAAAGGGTCGGGTTCAATTCTGGTCAAGAGCATGTACCTTGGTTGCAGGCTCCTCCCCAGTCCAGGCCCTGGTTGGGGCACATGCAGGATGCAATCAATCAATCGATGTTTCTCTGTGTCGCCCACTTCTATTCTCCCTAAAAAAATCACTGGAAAAATATCCTTGGGTGAGGATTAACAACAAAAAAGCCATGTAGTCCCCCACTGCCTGTAAACCTGCTTTTTACTGGTGAGATGGAATTGAAGGGATGCTGTAGGATTCTCAGTGGTTGAGGCAGAAAATTACAAGCCCTGATTGAGTATTATGTTTTGCTGGTTTCAATTACGTGAAAAAGAAGTAAAAAACAAAACAAAAAAATAAAGCTGTTTTCATGGCTCCTCTGGGCTGTGTCTTGCTGGCTTGACTGGGACAGAAGATGGAGAGAAAAGAGCAGAGGACCAGTGGCTCAGGACAGTGGGGAACACGACAAGATAAGAGTTCCTGTGTGCCTGCAGCTCGGCCCGACCCTCTGAGGTCTGTCCTTGGAGGCGACATGACTATCAGCTGAGAGATCAAAGGGATAGCGACATCCGTCATAAGTCATTGGCTTAGGGCGTCGGATGGAAGGCAGTGGAGTGGCTTTTAGGACGTCGCAAAGGTGCTGCTTCACACATTTTGGCCCCAGTGGCTTGTCCTGCAAAGCGAACAAGGAAGATACTGCCCTTGACTTGAGAGATCATGTGGGCATTTGCCTCAGTTCTCCAGCTTTCTTTTTAAATATATTTTTATTGATTTCAGAGAGGAAGGAAGAGGGAGAGAGAGAGAGAAACATCAATGATGAGAGAGAATCATTGATCGGCTGCCTTCAGCGTGTGCCACACTGGGTGTTGAGCCTGCAAACTAGGCATGTGCCCTAACTGGGAATTGAACTGTGACCTTCTGGGTCATAGGTCGATGCTCAACCACTGAGCCACGCAGGCCTAGCATTCTCTAGCTTTCTTAATGTGACTCCCGAAGAGGAGATGGCAGTCTGTTTAATGCCTGACAGGTTAGACTTACCAGATCCAGTCTGGCTTACAGTCCTGCTCGGGCAAGGTCCCTCTGAGGCTGACCCCTGGTGTGAAACATGCTTTGAACTTGAACCAAGGCAAATGTATTCGAAGGTTCTGGAAGCCACTGCCACAGATGGAGGTAAGCGAGAGGTGCTCCCTGCCCGGCGCTGGTTGGAAAGCCGCTCACTGCACAGGTGAGGTGGGGACAATGGTGTGTGTATCAGTCCCCGCCGGTAGGGAGAGCCATGGAGCCCAGGCCACACGCTCATGGCGAAGCTGTCGCTTCATGGAGCAGAGTCCCAATGGCGTACAGTGCTCCAGGCGTTGAAAAGTAAGGAAAGCGCCCTATATGAGCACGTCTAAGGGAAAGTGTATACAGTTGTCTGTATATATCAGACTTTTACACAATTCAATGTCCTTGATAAAAAATACCCAAGAAAACATGGAATGAGGGGTACTTAAAAAAAAAGTCATGGTAAAATACACATCACCTAAAATTTACCATTTTACCTTTTTTGTTTGTTTTGTTAATCTTCACCTGAGGATGATCTTTTCCATTGCTTTTCAGTGGGAAGGAGGGGGGGGGGCGGAGAGAGAGAAAAAAAACACAATGTGAGCAAGAAAACAAATGAGGGCAGGCCTGGTTAGTAAGCTATAGCATGACGAATATCCACGAATCAATCCTGATGCAAACAAGTCATTGGAGAGTAAACAAAGAAATGGAGAAGGCACAGCTTGTCCTTACAGAAGCATCCCAATTAGTAACGTAGAAGGAAGGACTGAAATACAAAATCACTGCAAGGCAGACGCCACAGAAATGGTTGCCGCCCGCCAAACCCTGTTGGGGAACAGCGGGGTATCTGCCCAGTTTCTGAGTATCTCCTCTGACGTGTTTATTCATTACAAATGGAAAACCAGGCCTTTGT